CTTCATTTTCCATGAGCATTGTATGACTGAGGTGTGCTTAAGAGAGGGTCGGGAGGGTACCCAGTGAGGTGGGGATCACTGAGACGCATAGGAGAGAGGGAAGAGTAGGTGGCTGGACAGGTGGGAGGAAAGCAAACCTGAATTTTGTCTGTTATATCTCATATGACTTCAGCAACAGCACTATGAGGTCATTGTTTTTCTTATCTTACTGATGAGAAAACTGAGGCTCAGAGAAACAAACTCAATCCTGATCATTTTCTTTTGCTTTGCCTTGTGCTTTCCCTTTGAGAATATTATTCCCAAAACTTTACATGGAAAACCTGGAAGCCAAAACTACATATACATTTGACTATAATTGTGTTAAAAAAAAAGATCCAGTGAAAACATAAGAAAAGCAATATAACAAAATGATGATGATTTTGGTCCTTGAGAGGTGGGGTCAGGAGGTAAGAGATGGCTTTTTCCTATTCTAGTTTTCTATATTTTCCATAATACACATGATTGCTTTTATAGCATCAGTGTCATCACCACCAATAACAGCAAAAGGTGTGCATTACTTTAAAAAGGAAAGTTGTGCCAGGCACGATGGCTCAAGCCTGTAATCCCAGCACTTTGGGAGGCAGAGACTGGCGGATCAACTGAGGTCAGGAGTTCAGGACCAGCCTGGCCAACATGGTGAAATCCTGTCTCTACTAAAAATGCAAAACATTAGCCAGGTGTGTTGGTGCACACTTGTAATCCCAGCTATTCAGGGGGTTGAGGCAGAAGAATCTCTAGAACTCTGGGGGCGGAGGTTGCAGTGAGCTGAGATACCGCCAGTGCATTCCAGCCTGGACTAGAGGGAGACTCGATCTCAAAAATAAATAAATAAAAATAAATAAATAAATAAATAATAAAAAGGAAAGTTGTTTTTGTTTCTTGGGTTACCAATATTCCTTCTAGATATTTAATAGTTTCCTGGAAACAAAGACTGATATTTTTAAGGCTTGATGAGTCAAGTGAATTCCATAGTAAGAATTCTGCCATTACTCTTAGAGCTTCTATTAAGACTATGTTACATGGTTTCTCTACTAGGTATTCTGTAAGAATTAAGAAAAAAAATATTAAAGTAACTCCATTGAAAATAAAACTGGTAGCCTGTTTTATAAATCTATAAAATATTCTGCATATTTCTGCATTCTGTAGAAAGTACATATTTGAATTGAATGTATTTATTGATATTACATTTTACTAAGATGTTCAGGTGTTTCTGTGCTTTCCAAATACCAGAAATCCAATCAATTACATAGAAATACAGAGTCAATAATAGAGATATTGTATCTACATAATGTGGAACCCCTGAATTGACTGAAATGAGGGACTCTGGAGGCATTGTGTAGATAGAGCTGAAATGAGGCAAATATGAAAATTTAAACAATGCCTCTTTTATATTAAAACAACCAACTATAAAAGCAATGTATTTAGTCAATGAGATAATCCTTTTGGTTTACACAATTCCAAGCCATAAGTTTGGGTAATTTATCTTACTTAATTTACCCAACATTTCGATGGTTTCCTAAAACATAATTGAATCTCTGGAAAAAAGAAAACAAAGATTCTGGCCTGGATTTTCTGCATAGAGAATGTTAAGTTAAAAACAAATAAGCAAGGAAAAAACTCACATTTGTCCTTTACATGTAAATGCTCTTTTACTTCCTTTATAAATGTGACTCTTTCAGGCTATGCACATTTGAATGTAAGAACTTGGTTAGAAAGACCTGACCCAGATGGGTATTTATTAAACTGTAAATTAAACTTGCCTAAAAGAAAAAAATGCAGAGAAAATATTAAAATGAAAGTCCTTTGGCTATAGAAGGTGGAGGTTTGAACCTTTCAAAGATTTAAGAAAATAAGTATTCTAGAAGAAGAAAAAAGCAGGTCACTAATTTTGTACAAAACTGGTTCCCCTTCACTGTTCTCATTTCCATTGATCAGGGGCACCACATTCTTCTAGACTCAGAATCCTGGGGCCATGCTGAATTGTCCTTTCTTCATCCTTTATGTCGGATATGTTTACATCACACCGTTTCTTTCTTTGAAACATCTTTCTGGTTTACTCTTTACTTTAAATTCTCCTGATAGATGATCTTACTGCCTCATGCCTGTATTGCTACTAACAACTTCCAAAGTGGTCTCTCTGCCACCGATCTCTCTCTCTTCAAATCTGCCTCCCCAAGAGCTGTCAGATTTCTCATCCCTAAATACCATTTCATCATCGCTGCTGCCTGCTCATCACTCACATTCTTTGTCGCCTCTGCATTAAGTTCAAATTCCTTTCTTTGCCCGATTGTCTGGATCCTCCACAGCCTTCTCTGTCTCTCTGTCTCTTTCTCTTCTTTCACTCTCATACACTTCTATCAGTCCAGTCTTACTTTTTACCACTCCCCTAAATACATCATTCATTTCAGACAACTAAGTCGCTCCATCCCATAAGTCCCACTCGATATGCTCCTACTTGGCCCCTCTCCAAACCCACGCCATTCTCATCCCAGCCACTATGTCTTGTGCTTTATGCATGGGATACTGTCCTTGACTTCTACTTTTCAAATTATCTTCATCCTTCCAGAGCCATCTCAAAAGCCACCTCTTCCTTGAAGATTTCTCTGATTCCTATAGCCCGGTAATTTTCCTTCTTTTCTCTGAACTCCCATCCCATCTATAATGAGGGTTGAATTACAAGGCACATTGCTTAAATACACTCCTCTTGGCTTATATGTCACTCTATGTTTCTCAGTTAGGATGTTATTGGTGTTTGCAACAAGGGAACTTCATTCCTTATTCTTGGAGGCTGACAGTGGTGTCAATGTGACAACCCCAAATGCTCAGAATGTATTTCCAAATGCTCTAATTATTAAAACAAACGCCGTAAAGAAGTTACCATGTCATATACATATTTGTTCAACAAGTAATCTTTGTTAAAGCAGTGAATGTGGATTTTTAAGGAAAAACCTGTAGTTCCCTCACAGTTGCAAAAATATATTTTTAAAATTAAGAAGGAGCCTAGTTAACACTCAGGCATTAATCACCACTCCACTTGAAGCATCTTTCAGGAGGTATTTCATGGGTCCTCACACGGATCTTGGATATTGCTACTTATCTCGTTTTATAGATGACAAAACTAAGGCTCACAGAGTTCTGCTTATCCAAGGTTATAGAGTTTGAATGGAATCCTGGCATTTAAGCCCAAGTTTGGAGCCAAAGCTTTGGCATTTTCTTCTATCATACAGCCTCTGTAAAGACAGCTTATCGGTAACAGTTTTGAAATAAGAATGTGAATATGTAACACAATTAGCAAATTAAAACGTATTAATGCTGATAGGTACTAATGACTGTAATGGAAAGAAAGGACATTAGGCAAGACAAACAAGTTTTAAAAATTTATAACAGGAATGCAAATTGGAGTCTAATGAATGAATTTACTCCCTGACCTTCCTCGCTGCTGACATTAACCCATGTTTGGTGTCTAATTGAGATGTACATATTCTTTACTTTCTTATTATATTGTCAACGTTTGTCTTGGAAGATAGTCAATAGATCTCTAAATTTCCATTAATCAAATTTTGGGTAATAAATGGCCAAATAAGCCTTAGAGTAGGTAGCACTGCTAGATCCAAGGCAAAAGAAATCTAAGAGCTGGCAATAGTTGCTTAGGTCTTCTCTCCTATTATCTAGTTATCTTAAATAATAAGTATTATATAAACCAGGTATTACAGCAACATTTAAAATGCAGTATATGTTTCCTTTAAGTTATGGCTCATTATTCATTTCATGCATATCTAAAACTCTTAAATTTTTTAGCAGTTTATTTCGCTGTGTCTGGTTACAATGCATATATCAACTAGAATTTATGAAGTAACAGTGGGAATGATTCATATATATACTTTTTTACAAAGTACACTCAGTTTCTAACTAGGTACACAGAGAGAACTATATTCCTTGCAAGAAATATGAGAAAATTCAACCCATTTAAAAGAATCAGCATGTTGATTTCAAGTTTAGCTTTCTTTTTTAACTATGAGAATAAATATTTATCATCTGTTCATTATATTTACCAAACAAGGAAAAGAAACTTAAAGCTAAGTTTATAAGTAACTTAGAAGAAGTGTATAAACATAGATAAATGTGTAAATGATATAAAAGTATTTTATTCCTATATCATTTCATAAATCATATGTACTGCAATAAAGTTTTGCACTTGGTTCACTAATGAAACCACTATTCAACTAATTATATGGGCATTCAGGTGATCTAAAAGCATAAAAGAATTTTCAGGAAAAAAACAGATTTTTTTAAAAAATTGAGTCATTCTTTATGAAAAATTGAGCTTGATGTTGTCTTTTTCATTAGAACACTTCCTGAGCAAAGTGCATTTTCAGCTTCTGTATGCTGGGACACTGTGCAAGGAGCTGGAGGAGAGGGTGATAGAATCTTCCCCCACTAAGCCTACCAAAAATAAGTCCAAGAACCTTTGCCAGGTATATGTCTTCATTGTGAGTAACTGTAGAATGGCAAAGAAAGTTTCATTTATTTTTTAACTAACCTGTTTTCAAACTGTCCTGTCAAATATTTGTTGTGCAATGAATTTTTAAGATAATTCTTTATCATGCAATAGAATTCTTTCCTACAGAAGCCAGAAATTGTCCAAATATTCTGATAACATTTCCAGAGAGGCACAAACATATTAAAGGTAAATTTCCAGAGTTTCTGTTTATATTTCTTTGTATCTTAATAGCACCTGAACTGATACCTGCTGATGTGCTATCCAATTTTCCCTATCTATTTTTAGATCTCCAGTTGCTTTAGAGATGGATTTAATAAGTTAGGCAGAAGCTTACACTGTGAAACATTTGCATGATTGTATTTCGGTTTTGCCATCAGTTAAACAGGGCAAAGTTGTTCCCATCTCCAAGGAACTCTATCCCACATTTCCTCTATTGACTTGGAGTTTGGGTTTTGCTTACCTGCTTCCTTGAAGATACTGTGCTGTTGAAACATCTATTAGAGGTATTTAAATTCAAATTTGTGTTCTGATGGGTTGAGTCATTTTTCCACGTCTTAGAGTTTTCTTTAGGATCTGAAGGAATGGGATTTAGGAAAAGGATTCTAGCTATGAATCCATAGAGGACGGTAGCCAGGATCATTGGCACAACATAAAAGACACCAAAGTCCATTAGGTAAATAGGTGAGTAGTAATTCCTGGAGATCTTGTAGCCACAGGATATCACAATAGCATCTTTGTAGGTGCTAATATTGAGATCCAACAAGAAGAACCAGAGCATACAGTAAATAGATGTGAAAGCCCAGACAAAGATGATAATCTTTTTGGCTCTGGAAAATGTGCAGAGAAACTGGGCTTTGATGGGGTGACAGATTGCTATATACCTCTCAATGGTAAAGGCTGTTATTGAACAAGATGATGCATTAATTCCCAAATACTGGAGGTAAGTAATGCAGAGGCATCCAACATAGCCATAGACCCAGGAACCATAGATGCTGTCTGTTATGTTGGGGAGGCCTGCGGCCACCAAAACCATGAGATCAGCTACTGCCAGGCTCACCAGGTAGCAGTTTGTGGGGGTCCTCATGTGCTTGGTTCTCATGACAACCAGGACTACCATGATGTTGCCTACAATGCCCAGGCCACAAATAATGAGCACGAGTAAGATGGTGACCACCTGGTATTCTAAGGCCACCGCTGCTCGTGGCTGAAGCTGTGTTTGGTTCAGTTCACTGACTGTCTCGTTTTCCATCTTTAGTGGCTTAAAGTTTCTCGGAAACACTGACTTCTCAAAACATCTTCTTTCCAGCGCTCACCTTTATTGCAGCAGTTCCATCCCCCTGTGAAGGGTCATAGTACATATTCATTAATAGTGTTACAATTTCTGATCAAGTCCCAATCACAAATAACCCTCACTTCCACTCCTTTCACTTCCTATTTTTCTGTGGGAATAGGGTTCATGTGTACTTCTTAAAACTTCCTTTATTGCATCTCTAGTGTAGAATGGAGTAACTGTTTTGACCGGCTCACATTAAGAGGGATCAGTTCCCTCTTAACAGAGAAAAATGCTTAAGAAAAGAGAAACAGTAAAAACTCCTTGTTTTGAAACAATGCCCGATTGAAAAAAAATTAAATAATATCTGCTAACTGAAAAATAAATACTAATACACCTCTTAGATGCCTGGCAAAAGTATGATGAAGAAGAAAAAGATACCAGAGGAAAAAGCCAAGAAGCTCGATAATCAAGCTTGTTACAAATTTAACTGTTGCCTCTTTTGCTCTCAGAGGGTGAGATGTCTTTGGTATAAAATAGAAAGCCTTTGAGATGACATTTCCCCATGCCCCCTGCCCCACAGATACAAGAGAGGACAATTCCTTCTCTTACCTTATCCTCTGTAGCACTGCCTGATTTTCTGGGTAGATGAAGTGGTAATAGTTCCAAGTTTCTAATCTTGCAGAAAATCTCATCTACTCTATTTGAGAGGGAGACCACTTAGCAGTGCTCAGTCTTTAAAACTGCAGTTTCTCCAAAGCCTCACAGCGCTTTCCAACTAATGACAAACCATACAGCTGCAGCAGAAACAGGAGCAGCAGCAGGAGCGGCAGCAGTGAGGCTGTCAAATCATAGATCGTCCCCTAATGAGAACATACACGCTCGCTCGCTCGCTCTCTCACACACAGACACACTCACAAATGCCAGTCAGTCCTCACTGACTCAGAGTCTTCTGCTCTTGGAGGATTTACTATTAAATGTGCTGATGAGACCGTCTTTAATTTGGAAAGCTGAAATCATAAGCCAGGGGTCTAGAAGCAGCTGGCCTTGTCGTTGTTGATCGTCTAAGTTCTGCAGAAACGCCAGTACCTAAGCTGCTCTGAAATACATTTACACTCCTTGTTTGATAGGACTTTGGGGTTAGCAAATCCTTCTCAGTCTAGACACGGCCCTTGAAGCTTGAAATATCTGTCTGAGCTGAAATCAACCTCTTTCTCTACTATGAAAACCCTTGTACTGTTTCTCAAGTGAATCAGTACCATTGGCTTCCTCCTCTCATATTTTGTGAATGGAAAATGAGTTAAAATTGATTTCAAACCATTTCAGCTGCAATCTGCTGATGCTTATAACAATTATTTTTAAAAGGCCTCTTTGAGCTAGGAACATCAATTTAAACTGCGTAGGGTCTGTTAAGTTTTTCAACTCCTATTTCTGGACCACTTTATAGAATCTATCGGCCCTGGGTGCTTTTCCCCTTCGCCTGTCCTCTGGATTTCCAATCACATGAACCACCTAGCAATGTTTTGTCTCAGTTTATTTCTAGGTGGAAAAATCATCTAGTAAAAATCTATACCAGTGCCATTCTGTTACCAAACCTCTGAAATGAAAATTTATAGACACATCTTTTGAAGAAAAGTACGCTTCAGCTTTATTATTTCTCTAAAGTAGCCAGTGGGCAAATCTATACTTTTTTTTTATTTTAAAGACAGGATCTCACTCTGTCACCCAGACTGGAGCACAGTGGCATGATCACAGCTCACTGCAGCCTTGACCTCCCGGGCTCAAGTGATCCTCCCACCTCAGCCTCCCGTGTAGCAGAGACTACAGGCACACACCACCACGCTCAGCTAATTTTTGTATTCTTTTGTAGAGATGGCATTTTGTTATTTTGCCCAGGCTGGTCTTGAACTTCTGGGCTCCAATGACCCACCCACCTCAGCCTTCTGAAGTGCTGCGATTACAGGTGTGAGGCACTATGCCTGGTCTTAAATCTGTATTTTTTTAATGGAAGCTCGGAAAACATGCGTCTTTTCTCAAGATAACAACTGAATACATCAAATGCTAATGCTTCTCCACTTTTATTTTATTAACTGACAATGAAAAAATACCCTTAGCTAAATTTCCTGTAAGGTATCTGGTGGATTAAGAATAGACCTGTAGGCCGAGCACGGTGACTCACGCCTGTGATCCCACCAGTATTTTGGGAGGCTGAGGTGGGTGGATCACCAGAGGTCAGGAGTTTGAGACCAACCTTGCCAACACAGCGAAACCCCGTCTCTACCAAAAATACAAAAATTAGCTGGGCTTGGTGGCACATGCCTGTAATCCTAACTACTCGGGAGGCTGAGGCAGGAGAATTGCTTGAACTTGGGAGGCAGAGGTTGCAGTGAGCCGAGATCATGCCATTGTACTCCAGTCTGGGTGACAAGAGCAAAACTCCATCTCAAAAAATAAAAAAATAAAATAAAATAACAAAACCCTCTAGAAGGGGTCGATAGAAGAGTCTATTTTGAGTAGACGGGACCATAGGGATATCAAAAACATGCCCAAATCTGGGTAATAATGAGATGAAGGTAAAGGTGAAGTTCTGGATGATACTGAATGACTTTGACCCATTGAACCACTGAGGAATCCTTGAATATCCATTTCTCCTTCCCAATTATTCGTAGTTACAAATTAATGACGTGTGAGCCCACATTCAGCCTTCAGACATGTATTGTTTGGTCTGTACAGGGTAGACCCAAGGGATTTAACATAGTTTATTATTTTTTACCCTTCAAAATAGAGAAATTGAATGTTAAATTGGGATTGTTATCATAAACATTTGAAAGGTCTGGCAATGAGGGGGGCTTGCATTTCTTCACAGAAGTAATCATTTATGGCTGAGTGAGTGTTGTGGTCAGGAGTTTATAGGGGTCCCTGATGCAGGACATGTGTCCTGTTCCTCACTCCACACTACCTCCAGCATCTCTCAGTCATGCATCCCTGCCCTCTGCCACCATTTGAGTTCTGATCCCTGCCTCAAACCCAAGTTCCTGAGAGAGACAGGGGAGGGCACCATCCAAATGCACATTCTTTTATCCCAAGCAGGATTTTTGTCTGAGTTCTAGTTTTCTCCTCCACCTGGTTTAGCACGCTGGACAATGGATATCCCCTATGCCTTTCTCCCTGGCCTAGACGACAGAGATTACTCTGAAAAGCTTGTCTCTTGTCTAGCCTCCTGCTTTTCAGAATGAAAAATGCTTCCTAAAATGAAGGTGTTTCCTCCTTACTGCACCCTACCCCCACCACTTCCAAACCAAAATTCTTCTCGAAAAGTCTTACTTCGTAAAGCCCATCTTCCCATCTTGTTCTCCCAAGGAGTTTAGTTAGCCTTCAGGCCTCCTAAAAACAGCTTACTTCAAGTCTTATAGTTGAGTTTTCAAGATGAGAGGAGAGAACCCATATAAGACATACCTGTGGAATGTCTCGATTCCACCTCCACTCCAATTCTTTTCTTATTGCCATTCTTCAACACTTACAGGCAAGGCCATTATTCAGAGTCTCTTTTCTGTGTCTCTGTTTGTTTTTTTTTTTAAACACATAATTATTAAGCTCCTACTATGTGTCAGGCAGTTAGTACATAAAATTTTGTTTTTACCTCCAAGTAGGTTGTGGTCTATTGGGAGCAGCAGGTTTGTAAACAGTTACAGTGAGATATGCACTAAAAATGTGCACTCACAGGGTTTGGACTATGAAGGGAAAGCATTTGTGGGTGGTCAGGGCAGTCAACTGAGGCACAGAGAGGGCTTCTGAGGCAACGTAACACCTGAGAACAGTCTTGAAGAAAAGCACAGCTTTCCTTTGAAAGGTGGGGAAAGTGAAGACATTCTGACTAGGAGTAATAGATGACAAGAGTCAGCTGTGTAAAATGGCCAGGGGGTTGGGGAGACAGGAGTGTGATTTTATGACTCAGCTTTGGCCATGAGGCATTTGAGCTTGTAATGAGACAACCGTCCGATGACCACCAGGCAGGTTTTCTAATATGGCATTCTCCCTTGTACACTGACTCAGACTGTCCTTGGTCCCGCTTCCTTCTAGCCCTAAACTTGTTCTTTCAACTCTGGAGAGGCTACGTTTCTGAGTTTACCACCCCAGACTTGCCTATTCAGTACGGTACTATCAGTCAACTTTCTTCTTCTCAATAAACTTCCAATCAACTTCATGCTTTTTGCAAAATTATATTTTCAAAGCATGATTTCATAAGGTAGGTTTTCTATTTGTAAACTCAGATAATATCTAATAAATGCTCCCTATGTGCAAATAACTGCAAAAAATGGGAGAACATTTCTTTTTCTGAAAGGCAGGATCAGTATTATGAATTTTGCCTTTTGCCTCAGGCTCCAAGTACTAATCCCTTACTTACATTTTTGATATTTTGTTTATTATGGATTCTTTTCCAATGATTTTGATTTTTAAAGGTATTTTAATAGTACAAATGTTATCTTGATGGCTGAGTTTTTTGGAGCTCCCAGCACTTTGTGCCATCACTTACCTGATTCTATTCTCAGGCTTTTCATCCCTGGCTGAATTTCAGAATCAACTGGAGAGTTTTTAAAATTACAGAAATGTGGGTCCCTCTTGCAGACATTCTTATCTAATTAGCCATAAAGTGAGGCCGGAGCTTTGGTGTGTACAATGATGTTTGAGAACCACTGAGCCATGCCAATAAAATTTGGTGTCTGGAGATGGGAAATTGGTGGCGTGGGCTAATCCAGGCTGTGAGAGGGCCAGGCAGCTGAAATAAACGGGGTCTTAAGTAACCACCAACGTTCAGAAAGGTGACAGCTGTAGAAAATTTGGCAACAGAGAGCCCTGGCCTGAGACTCTGGTTCCTGTGAGAAATAACTATTCGGGTTTCTGGGTTTAGAAGTGCTGAATGTGGTGCAGTGTATTGAGTGAGTCAAGATTCAGACACAGAAACCACGGCAAAGATTTGGTCACTGGAATCAGTATGTAAAGTCTTGGCAACTTCCATTGATGTTGAACATGCAGGTGTGTAGAAGGCCAGAATTGAGGTTTGGAAACTCTACCTAGATTTCAGAGGATGTGTGGAAGTCTGAAAATCCAGGCAGAAGTCTGCTACAGGGGCAGAGCCTTCATGGAGAGCCTCTACTGGAGCAGTGCGGAGGGGAAATGTGGAGTTGGAGCCCCCACACAGAGTCCCCACTGTGGCACTGCCTAGTGGAGCTGTGAGAAGAGGGCCACCGTCCTCCAGACCCCGGAATGATAGATCCACTGATAGCTTGAAGTGTGCACCCAGAAAAGCCACAGGCACACAATGCCAGTCCATGAAGGCAGCTGCAGGGGCTGCACCCTGCAGAGTCACAGAGGTGGATCTGCCCAAGGTCTTGGGAACACACCTCTTGCATCAGCATTCCCTGGCTGTGAGACATGGAGTCAGAGGAGATTATTTTGGAGCTTTAAGATTTAATGGCTGTCCTTCTAGATTTTCCACTTGCATGAGGCCTGTAGCCCTTTTGTTTTGGCCAATTTCTCCCATTTGGAATAAGAGCATTTACCCAATGCCTGTATCCCCATTGCATCTTGGAAGTAACTAACTTGTTTTTGATTATACAGGCTCATAGGCAGAAGGGGCTTGCCTTATCTCTGATGAGAGTTTGGACTTGGACTTTTGATTTAATGTTGGAATGAGTTAAGACTTTGGGGGACTGTTGGGAAGGAATAGTTGTATATTGAAATGTGAGAAGGACATGAGATTTGGGAGGGGCCAGGCACAGAATAATATGGTTTGACTCTGTGTCTCCACCCAAATCTCATGTCGAATTCTAATCCTCATACGTCAGGGGAGGGACCTGGTGGGAGATGATCGGATCATGGGGATGGATTTACCCCATGCTGTTTTCATGACAGTGAGTTCTCATGAGATCTGATGGTTTGAATGTGTGGCACTTTCCCTCTCACTCTGTCTCTCCTGCC